ATCCGTCACTACACGAAAACCACTACCCTGGCAACAATGGAGTAGTTGGGAACATGGGGATCTACACAAGGCCTGTATAGTCAAGCATAAAAGACGATGGTTGGTGCCATTTCTCCGTCATATCATATAACAATTATGTTAAGAACAAGAGCGCATTATTTCTTTTTTAATTAAAATAAAATTATATTTTAGCTCGCTCATCGAAATCGCTGTTCCTAAAGCCATACATCTAAAAAATGATAACTTTTCAGTTTTGACACCGAAGCCTTTAAGAAAATTTTTGATTTACGCTTCTTTTTTGACGGGCTTTTTAAATAATGGAACATTTATAATTAGGAAAAACAAGTAGACTAGCTTTCGAAAAAGGGATATTATTTTAGAAATATTTTTCGAAAAGTTTTGACGTTAACTTTAGCTCATATTTTTAATTTAAAATCATAACTTTTTGTAAGACGTCTATTTGATGATTTAGTACTCAAAACCATTGAAAATAATAATGCTGTCTTTTTCAGGGCCGCGGTGGGACATACAAGAACAATTTAAGCCTTCCAGTATCGTAATTTATAATGAAATTACACAAATTACTGGGTGTGTTCAAGGCCTAGGCGTGCTCCATCGTAGGTCGCATCATCACCAGGCGTGATAGCGACCAAATGCCTGCCCATTACGAAATTAAAAAAGAATTACTTCATAACTGTAAGAGCGACACCAATAGGAACGAAAAAAAACATAGCACCTAACAATCTATAAAAAAATAGGTGCCTCTACTTGTTAGTATTATATTATGACTCTAATGAGACATATTTATTTATTATGTTTTATTAACGACTTGCTCACGTTACTATTCACGTAACTTTCATTCAATCACGCGTCGTCATCACAAAATGCTGCTCATGAATAAGGGCTCCTAACGCGGCTTGAAACTAGACGAGTTACGCGTCAAATAATCATTATGTTTTGGCACAAATGGCTCGGTTCGACCGGGGTGATACCACGGCCTTACAGAAAACAGGCTTGAAACAACCAGAGAGTTGTGTTTCGCCGTGTGAACGAGGTTACCGAACCCTCCCCCTCCCCCTCCTTCCAATAGTTAAATATCCGAAACCGTTATCTCCAAAAGGCCCGCAACGCACTCAAAACTCATGTGGTTGCGTGTATCCATTGGCGCGACGCCGATTGCTTACCATCAGGTAATTCATATGCTCGTTTGCCGTCTTATCCTATAAAAAAAACTAGACAAGCATACAAAACTATACATGCTCTACAATGTATGCAAGTGCAGCGTGACAGTGGGCAACATTAAAGCTGTGACGTGACAAGTGCAGCGACGCGGATGGGTTAATTATTTCTTTTTGTGCGAGCCCTCGCTCTGAGATTGCTGTGATTACGTGACTTCGCGCTACGAACGTGTTTAGCCGTGACGAGGCGGGACAGAAGAGACTTTATATACGATATCAAACTGAAAAAGTCTCTGTGAGGAGTTAAAGACAGTTTCTGATGTACATATATTGTGCACTCACTGTATCAAGTACGTATGATGTACTTTCTTAAGTGATGTAAAAATCGATACTGTAGGTTTAAAAAATAATCATTCGAATCAAGCCGCAAAATTTTTAGATTGGATGATACTGTTATTTACGAAACATTGAGCTGTTGAATTTAAATTTTTATTTACTATATCTTACTTAACTATCTTATGCTATTATTTACTGTGCAACTTTCTCATGTGCATCTTATCTGAAAATGTTGAACCCAGCCACCAGGCCATTTGTGAAACAATTCTATACAAATATTATGAAGAGGTAAATTTTGTAAGTTTGAATATAGGGGTACTCTTTGGAACCGCGGGTCCAGTATTTAAAATTATTTCACAGATAGTTAGCTACAAACTTCCTGAATGCTATAGGCTATAAATTATTCTTGAATTGCGCATTTTTGACGAGCAATCGCCTTAAACGCTGCTATGAAAATCGCGCGAAACATAACTATATACGCCTGAAAAGCATGCAAAGCCACGGGCGGAAGCGAGTATTTATTACAGCTGCAGTGATAGGAATATTATGACCTAAATGTTTTGAAGACTACCTACTACGAACATAAAGGATATAGTTATAAGTTTCCAATAATTCATACGGTATTTAAAGATCAAACAAATTAAAGTAATATATATATTTTTAAATGCTAAATCGAAATCTATCTTACTAACAGTTTTTACTTTTTCACTAAACAAGAAACAATCCATCCTACCAGAGAAGAAGAGTTTCACCTCTGTGATCCACCAGTCTACTCTGTGGCAAGTTGGTCTGAAGCGCTTTCACGCTCTCACAATACGCGATGCGGATTAAGCAAACACAGTTTTAATTAGCGAGATTCGCAGAGTGCTCCCACCTACACCGTGCCTATTACTTGTGATACACAATGTTCTATCTGTTAGGATATACTTGTGTTATATTAATACATATTATTATGGTGATAAAATGGTTATATTCATTATTTGCTGTCAAGAAAGATCAAAATAATGTCTACTTCTTTGAAAATGCAATTAGGCACTTAACTTAGAAGCATGGCTCTCCCACACTTATAATAAATAAATGCAAAACATAAATTGAAAATCAAATTTTCGTTTACACATATTACGTTAATTTAAAAGTAGTCTAGCCAATTTTCACGAAATAAAAAAGAAGCATAAGGAAAATTAAAATTCCTTTTCGACTTGAAATAAGAATAGCGATTTTATTTTGTTTTTTGTAAGGTGTGAATTTGTGTTGTAATTATTCTGTTTCTGTTTAATGCATGTCTTGGTATGATGTAGTTAAGGCTAAAAAACTATGCAATGTAAAAAATAAACCTTTCATGTAATTAAATGCAAGATTTGGAGGTAGCCCTTAAATATGTAAATAACGCCACAAGAGATATAAGTGTCGTTTATGACAATCCGAAAAATTAACTGATCTTTTTTAATCAAACTCCGAATTTTTAACCAAAAGCTTTAAGTTTAAAATTGGTGTAAGTAAGTTATTATCCGCATAATACCTATCAAACTCGCAGGCGAATATCATAAAGGTCGATTTTAAAAAAAGGGCATTGTGAATATTTATAACAACTGTTATAGCAACATTAGGTACTAAAAATCTGCACCGTATAGTTTCCCCTAAACTTTAGCAGAGAAGAAATCACTACCCAAATACCAATTTCCCCACCTACATCGTTAAATAAAAAAAAACCTCTCAGACTAAAAAACACTCCCCTTACTTGGCTACCGCAAAAATTCTTGCAATTAAAAAGCTGTATCAAATCCGAGCGCGAGTGTTCCGTACATAGAAGCGGTAATTTATTCCATCAAATGTGTAAACTTCATCTGGTCGCGAGCTATTCATGGGCTAACGAGTTCTTTCTTTACGGAACCCTGTTAGCTAGTGTATTGTGGACGGAGATGATATTTTGATTCGCGATATGAATTTATATGGACATGTTTATTGCTTTTTGTATGTGTAGCTCAGTTTTTTCTTTATGTACGGACGATGCGTAAACGGGCAGATGGATTACCTGATGGCCAATAGATGGCCCATGGACACCCACGACACCAGAGGAGTTATAAGTGTATATGCGGCCATTTGGGGATAAGAGGGTTAAGGGATATGGGAGGGATAGGGTCTCTGGTAACCTCACCCGCAAGGCGAAATACAACGCTTGTGGATGTTAAACGCTGGTTTTCTGTGAGAACGTGGTATCGCTCCGATCAAGATGTCACATTCGTGCCGAAGCATGGCTCTTTTCGTTAACCCCTATTTGTTTTAAATTTGGAACCCCGAACTACGTCCAACCAAGGAATTAAGAGCAGTGCCAATTCTTGTAGGCCCATCGACTTGTATCATCCTTGGAGCATCCGATCTCAGAGAACTTTACTCTCTGATCAATACTGTTGAACAAACGCCTCCTTTGACCTCTTATCAGGTGGATTACCACGTTCCCCGCTTGCATGCTGTTTGGGAATGAAACTTAAGTCTCCGTAATACACAGTAGTCTAGTTGACGTAAAATCCAACTGGAGATTATATAATCTAAAATTATGTACATGTCATAACCAAGTAGCTGATTAAACCTTTCGATTTAAAGTCTAGCCTGGTTAATAATTAATATTAATAAAATTGTCATAGACGCCTTGGTACTTGTACTGTAAGTTTTTTTGTAGTCCTATTTTGATAGCTGTTCATTTGTAATTTTAATTTGATTTCTGTGCTAATCGCAGTTCAAACGTAATCTAACTTTTTCACGACAGTCCCTTCACCGTTCATCAGAGAGAACCTGAGAATTTCAGTGAGAGACTCATCCATTCCAACAAACGGGTATTCATTCAGACCGTTACTGTAATTGCTGTTTACGCTATTCGGCTGAGACATATAATACTAATATTATAAATGTAAAAGTTTGTGAGAATGTATGACTGTATGTTTGTTATTCTCAAACGCAAAAACGGCTGGACCGATTTTTGGCTAATTGAAATTTGGTATGTAGATACCCTGAATTAACACACGGGCTACTTTTGATTAACATCCAGTCGCCTGAAGCTGCTGGCGGAAGCTGGTCGAAGAAGCTGGCTAACATGTAGGATGACTGGCAATTAGTGTCCGATATTTAAACTCGTGATTGTACTGATGATCACAAACAACTTTCCCAAGGAAACTTTTTTTCTATTCTCATTAGTTTTATTTTTATTACTTCTTAGAACAAAATTCGCGCGCCCGCTGTCCATCGCTCGATCAGCTGTTAGCGGCGAGGTATTGAGCACCGTAATTTTGTGATACTAATAAAAATAAAATTAATGATACATGTATACAAAAAAATAATTCTTCTGGAAAGTTGTTTGGTATCATGAGTACAATTTCGTGTGCAAATATCAGTAACTAATTATCAGTCACCCTATGTCTAATACTGAGGATATCACAGTCCTTAGTTATACACATTGTAGAGAAAATTTTGTAAGAACTGTTAATAACTTACCTGAGGAGTATTCTTTCTAACGACTTTAGGCTGTAACCTTTGCAAATGGTTGGGTAAGGGAACCTCCTTGTCTTTGCTTGTCGATGGTTCACTAGCGGCTGAGTCACTATTCGACTTCTTAGCTGGAGTACTCGTTGCGTTGGTTCTCGCTGGTACTCGATTCGCCTAAAGAAGGGAGACAAAAATGATAAATGAATTTATTTCTTATTTTAACAAGTGGCGACCCGCCTCGACCATACAAGGGGCACTAAGCTTTCCCACTATTTAATTAGTGTCATTATACATCTAAACTTCCTTATTCAATCAAAAACAAACCTGGATCAAAATCAGTCGCGTAGGTTTAAGGATGTTAGCATGCCTATGTAGTCGTATTATCTGTCCTTATATATATAGGGGTATAGGGACAGAAAATGCCTATATCCCAATATCCATTGAGATATCGGGACAGATAATGCGACTTTGTTTTATACAAAGTATGGGAGCCGTGCTTCGGCACAAATGGGTCGGCTCGACCGGAGCGATACCACGGCCTCACAGAATAGCGGCGTGAAACAACCACAGCGTTGTGTTTTCAGTGAGGCCGTGGTATCACGCAGGTCACATTTATGTTGAAGGATGACTCTCCCACGCTGAACATCCACACCCGGCATAGCGTGGCAGCCAGCGGCGCCCAGCCATCGCGATAACCGTGTACTCAAAGTAATTCATACATTGATTGAACAAGTGAAAGTTAAATAAATTCGTTCACATATGGTTTGTACAAGTTAAAAGCAAAATGTGATAATGTAAATAATACTGTACCATTTCCTCGCTCCGCCTGATCATTTCGAGTTGTTGTTCGCGCGCTATCGCCTGCTTGATGGCCGGTGTGAGTCGCACCTTCTCTTCGGTACCTGATACATTTCAATTACAGATTAATTTTATTTATACACCAGGAATACTTTTCTGTTGTCAATTAACATCAGATAGTTGATTGTAATAAAAAAAGAAGAAAGAAGAGAATAGAATCGAAGTAAAAAAGAAGTAGCTTGAAGTGAATTGTTACTGCGCTTAAAACGTATGCTATTAAGACCGCTTAAACGGCGAGGATTTTTGTTTATGGGGTGAGCCCGCAATAACCTCTCAAAACCGCTGCAGGTCCTGTAAGCTAGGATGTACAATAAATACAAATAAGAAACCACCGAAATACTAAAGTATGCCACTTCCTAATGATATATGGATTCCAAACCGAAATAAATCAGAAGATACTTGAGGAGAAGAAAAAAACGAAATGATTTCCATTTCCCTCGGTAAATTTAATGCAGGAGACAGAATGACTTAAATTTTAAAGGCATAAAAGAGGTCGTACAACTGGGAGAAGCACAATCAACAATGATCACGGGGAATTTGCAAAAAATTTGAATGGGTTCTGTGTGTGGAAGCTGTTATACTTATTTCCAGTAATTATGGCAAAAGCCAAAGCCAAAGCAAAAGCCTAAACACACGGTTTTTTAAAATTTTACATTCTACAAATTCATATAATAACATATATACATTAGACTACCTATATGTAGTGTTTTATGTTCATATCACTAGAGTAGACTTTATATGTTGGATCTATAGCTCGCGGCGCCGGTAAATGCCATCAATCTAATCTAGGTACCAACCTATACGAGTATACAAGTGACTTATTTCGTTTAAGGGCAGTTTTTTCTTTTAAATTACAATTGATGAAACATTTTATTTACATAGTAGTGTTTTACGTTACACTATCTCAGAGCATACGAAGGAGCGGATTGCTAGCGGGTTATTGTCAAGTTTTAACACTTTAGAAAATATTGACCAAAACACGACGTCTGTGAAATAACTGAAGAAGGATTAAATTATAGTGTAAGTGTAATTTTATTTAATAATAATAGTGCAGTTACCGAAGAATGCAGCCCTGTAGATGTCGGGTTCCAACTTGTGTACATAGAGCCCGTCAGGCCCGCGCGCCGCCACGTACCGCAGGCCCAGCCCGCACTGCGCACGCGCACACGCACGCAGCGACGCGCGCTCCTCCACGCTGCACAGCTACAAATATTTACTTTACAATTTCAAGCGAAATGCACCGCAGCCTCGCCTTAGGATAAGAGAAATAAAAGGGGTTTTTAGTCAGTAAGAGTCTGACATCCCTCTCGTCTCACCCTAGGCGAGAGCGAAAGACGATCTCCGGCCACCGTAAGCGCGGGTTTACGGACGGCGAGTAAAGGTAGCTCGCCGCCCGACCAGAACCAGGACAGACCGGACGGCGCGTAGCGTTCCGCACACGCCTCAGAGCCAATAGACCACCACAGACGGGGCCCTATAGGGCTGATATTCAGCCGGGGTTGCGGGGTAAGAGCAATGAGGCGCGGCCTTGGCCTAAAGCAGGAGAAGGAACGGAAAAGTTTTTAGAGAGTAAGAGTCTGACACTCTCTTTCGCCATACCCTTCACGAGAGATGTCTTCCGAAATTTTTCCCCTCACAAAAAAGGGTTAACGTTTTCAAATCTTGTTTTCATTTTCAAACTACGTTATCCTGATTTAAAAAAAAATGCTTTTGATAAATGGTAAGTTTTCTTTTTGTGACGGGATATCAAATAATTCTCTCTCGAGGAAATTTCAAACTCTTACTCTCTCCAGAAACGGCAGTACCTTATTGTTCATGCCCCGCAGCCAACACCGGGAACCCTATGCTTATAAAACTGTGCTGTCCATCTGTTTTTCACCAGATTTGTATCAAAGTTACGAGTGCATTACCGACCCTTTGGGGACTGGGTTTTGTAGATTAAGGGATTAAAGGAGGGAAAGAAGGATAGTACGTCCACTAACCTCACTCACAAGTTTCACGTCGGTTTTCTATGAGGCCATGGTATCACTTCGGTTGAGCCGAAACATGGCTCACCCACAACTAAATATTTGATGAACCTCTTATCTTCCGGTATGTGAGACACATTAAACAACACATAGTGTCTCGTGTATATCGACGCTCTTTTTTGGGACAAGAATTAATCCGTTACTAAGCTAAAATTTTGAAATAAGAATCAGCTATTTCATCTCTATATTGTCCCTTCAGTTATCTTTTCATCTGATATTTAATGTCCCTGTCTGGCACTGCTGCCAATTTAGAATTAGATTTTGATGCTTGCGTGTGCGTAGGAATATTTATCTTTGTTATACGTTGATGTCAAATGTCATAATTATTTCAAGTCCATAGCGAACACCGAAGACCGTCCATAGAGGACACTTAGTGTTGGAACTTTTTAGAATACGCACGCAGCCACGTGCTCGGTGGACATTCAGTTCAAATCCAAGCTAATCTTTTATCCTTAGTTAAATTGGAATAGTTGTGATTGCAATATCAAGAGTTGCAAGAACAGTGATTACAGCAACAGTTATTTTATTGAAATACTGTCTTCCTACCCGGTAATCCGCGCCTAACTGAACTGTAAAATTATTCAAATCATAGTCGAAAGACTTCAAATATTACAAGTTAATTAATTTTGATGTTAATGGAAAGTTACCTGTACGTTAGCAGTCCTGAGCTTAGGAGCAAGTAGATATGGCAGTAGCGGTAGTACATCGAGTACTAGCGCCAGCCTGCCCACGCTGACTGAGGGCTCGCTGCCGCGGAGGACGGACGATACTATACTCTCGATCTCTACCTTTTTACGGTACATCTGGAATGGGAATAGAAATAAATCTATACTAATATTATAAAGAGGTAAAATTTGTAAGTTTGTATGCAGGAGGTAATCTTTGGAACCGCTGGTCGGATTGCCAAAATTCTTTGACTGATAGATAGCTACAATGTTCCTGAGTGCTATACGCTATAAAACATCACGCTACGATACAATACTAGCTACCCATCCCAGCTTTTATACAATACCAAGTAAGGTTATTAGACGTTTGTCTTTACTTATACTAAATTTAATGAGATTAATATCTATTTCAACACAGTTGCATGCAGTAAATAATATAAATAAATGTACCATTATGCATTGCACCACAGTTCAAAGCTTGAATTTTTTAGTAACATTTTATACACTACTGAGTTTCATAACAAATAAGTTGTTTTAACAAAAGTTTCACTATTCGACTTTTTTTCAAAACTCTTTGTCTGAAGAATGTTTGTGAGTGCGATTCGAAAATTCAGCGAATGAAAATCAGAGGTTTATGAACTGTTAATAAATTTCAGTGGCATTGAAAAATATTGTAATTTCGATATTAAACTGACAATCTCATACTATTTATTGCTACATATGTATTAAAGGAAGCAACTGATAGTCAAACCCAGGATAACGCAAAATTTATTGAAAAAAAAAAACAACTCGCTTACGTGAATAAACTCTACAGGCTATAATGAACCTTACAGGATATACGGGACTCTTATCACGTAAGTCGTTATACTCAATAAATTTAGTACATCTCACTGAAGTAACTGATGAAAAATTCCAGTATAATGCTATGGAAAGGTACAAACAAACAAACAATACTGCAAACATACTATAGATATAGACTGACACTTTATATCTTTAAATTTTGTTCGACATTCAAAAGTGCTTGTAAGGGTTTAATTGAAATAAATGATTTTTGACTTTTGACTTTAGACATACCTCCTGAGCTTGCAAAGGGAACTTAACCCTCTGCGGTGTTCTGGTCGCGAGCAAAGAATGGCAGCGCGCGATACAGAGCGGCAAGGCCCCGTATAGCGAGTAGTTCTGGTGACGTAACGTCCACGTCGACAGTATGTCATAGTGTTGCAGCCAGGATAGTGTCTCCGACGCCAGGAGGAGCCGCCCGTCTACACGAGCTGATAGGTAGTTCTCGAATATACCGTCTATTAGCCTGAAATTAAATAGTATTAGAATTTAAGAACTTTATTAATTCATAATCTAATCTACCATTACAGGTTTATCTTAACCTAATGCTATAGACAAGACACAACACAACACAATAATCAATGAGCACATTGCACAACGTCGGGAACAGATAATATTTATGCTAGCCAAAATCCCAGGGTTATGTACTTGGGCCTGAATTACATTTACCAAATACAGTACCAGAAACCGAAATATAGATTCGTCGTCAGATAAAACTATAAAGATATGCTCTCTCTCTACATCACCCTAAAGGTTGACTTGTGAGAATGCCTATGACATAATCATTAAGTCCGCCTATGTAATACTATTTAATAATAATAAAATAAAATATATTTATTTTCAGGGTAAGGGGTTTTCGGGCCCCAAGGATTCCTTTAAATATGTGATGTAATTGAGTGATTTTTTTTTTATCTGTTCTATCTCCTCCTCGGGACCAGAGCCGCGGTACATTATTCCACTTGCACTCCCAAACCCGGTTGGCCATCGAACCTAGACTATAGAACCATCTGTCGTGGTCTAATGGCTTTTTGAAGAGTGGCCGCCACTTTATTTCAAGGTGGCCGAAACTTTTTCAATTTTGACTGAATTATTCAAAATAACAAACGATATCATTTTCCAAGCCTTATTGCGAAATAGATTTTTGACTACGATTTTTGTGAATCAATCCAATTTAATTTGGTATGAGATCGGTTACTTTATTTTTTTGGATACTTCGGTAAACGAGCAGAGGAGTTGCTAGTGAATTGCCAGGCTTTTGGAGATAAGAGATTTGAGCATTTAGTAATATGGTGCAAAAAGGGGGTCTCTATTCTTGGCTAAGTTACCTGTCATATTCACCAGCAGCCTGTATGGTCTTGAGTATGGCATCCGGCTCTTTGTCGTTGGTCGTGAAAATGCTCTGCAGCGCCTGCATCATATTCTTGTTGCAGTCCTTCGTGCCGATGGCTACGTTCTCTACGTCTTGCATACTCAGCTGAAATTTATAATTTTTTTCATGAGTTTATTTCTCTTAGGTTATCGTTAGAGTTACTTATACATAAGTAAAAATAGGAAACCTATTACTAAGATCACTAAACCTATGTTTCATTAACCGAAATAGCTAGTGGTGGATAGATCATATACCTATTTTGAAGCGGTAACAACGGATGGTAAACAAAATGAACAAAGTCAATTTTTCTGATAAGGTAATCATCCAAAGGTTCTGGTGGATGGTTTGTCAGACTCGACTTCTCTTCTTGAAACTGGACATCGGCTATTCTGGACTTCATCTGCATCCGCATTTCATTACAGTTTCTTCTATATCTGGTTCTTAACAGACTTTAGGAATGTATTGTTTTATTAAGTACTAGCTGACCTGGCAAACTTCGTACCGCATCATATATAACTATTTTTTACTTCGTTTTTTTTTTTTATATTTATACCTTTTAAACCTTCACTGTATATCCAGGAATATTTCAAAGTTACAATAAACCATGTTGGTCCAGCCTTTCTCGAGTTTTAGCAAGACTAACGAACAGCAATTTATTTTTATATACAGGGTGTAAGGGACAGCCCTCCACAAATTAACAGGGTGCATTCAGCTCCTTATTCTGAATCATATTCCAGTGAAAATTCTTTCAGGAAAATTTTCATTTTTTTTTTCGTTTTTTCAGTTCCTACACCTCTATTTCAATGTATAATTATATTCTATGTATGAAGAATAACATTAATGTAAATAACACAGCTAAAACAAAAAAATACGCAATGGTTGTGTGAATTCTCTAAAGAACTACGCATGAAATCAGCTGTTCAATTTCTACCTAGCGCGAGTCGTTTGAACTCACCGCACCGCGGTCACGGCGCATCGGCTCGGCGCCCCACCGCGCCGATCGCCGCGCCGCGCGCCGTAGGTATAATACCTACGATCCCGTCCAACGTACAGAATAGCTGCGTCCCTTTCTGTCGATTGAACCAGTGTTGCCAACTTTTAACTTTTGTTACCTCTTCTACCTTTCTCTCTTTCTACCTTTGTAAACGAAAATGTTAGAACTATCGAAATTTATCTAAAACTTGAAAACTCCTTTGCATTCATAATCACATTGATGAGATTTTCATTAATCAATTAATGAAAATCTTGTCGCGCACATAAATTGAATAAAAAATAAATAAAGATTAGTCTAGTTTTAATTTTAAAGCATTTACAAATACTACCTAATTTATTAATTGATTGTTCTTTTTAAGCGATTACTGGCTAGTTTTTAAACTACTTACAGATTTACATGGCTTCACAATAGCCATGAATTGATACTCGAGCCAGAAATTAAACACAATCTCCCTGGAATGGAAGCACAGCTTTTTATCACACTGCACTTTTATTATTCTAAATTAACTAAATAATGAAATTAGAATTAAATTGATTTAATCAATTCATTTCTCTACAAAAAATAACAGAATGATAAATTACGACCATGCATAATTTTTTATTTTTTACCCCGAAATTTTGTAATTTTCGTGTAATTGGCAACAACAGATTTATGTTTGTGTGTGTCTCATCACATGCAGTCGCCATTGTGCCTTGCTGCGATGTTATTGTTTGTGTACCGCGAGCGTGTATCGGTACGGATCGCTCGCGCATTCGGCTTAAAAGTTTTGTTATAAGTAGTGTTGTTAAGTTTTATTAGTTATGTAGTGTGTGAAGTGTAGTGAAGTTTTGTTGTAGAAATTGTGCGAAATTACTATCTAGGTACGTTTAGCGCGCGTGATTATGGGGAGATGATAATGTGTTGTAGTCAATGACGTATTATATATAGACACGTCATGAACCAACATCGCGGCGCTTAAAAACGGCGAAAATACTAGATAACTACTTCTACGAGTAAAGAAAGAGAAAGAAAATATGACACCGTATAGTGGAATGCCTTTGCTAGAGGGAGATAAATATACATCTTCAGTTACATCGGCACGTGACTATACCTTCATGCGCCGGCCGCCATAAGATGGCGGGCGACGGCGTCGAAAAAATAAAATAAAAATAGGTTGTTTGGTGAACTTACGCATGAAATGACACATTTTTGTCTTTAACTTTTGGAGTATAATTTGTACATCGTCTGAACACACACGACGGCATGCTTTCTTTATGTTTCGCACAGGTTTACACACACGATATAAATTAAAAACAAACGTAGCGTCGCGCGGCAGGTTGGTGCGTAACTAAGCGCGATCTTGTCAATTGCCTTCATTTCATGTTGTCATTTTAGAGCGCGGACAACGTATCTATAGTTTTATACATCATTGGTTGTAGTAGTGTAGGTATCCTGACCGTCGCAATCCATCAGACTCCAGGATAATTACTGGTGACTATCAACGCTTGCTAGAAAACCAGCCCATTGTTCCCAGACAAAAAGGCGCCGGAAGACCAATACCTACGTGGATTTTGGAATTGGTTCGCTAACGTAACGAGTCGCTACCACTAGTGCTTTCCTATTTAAACGTAGTTTAGGTAGGTTTGGACCGCAACCGTGGCCAGCACGATCGCCAGACCTAACCCATTTGGACCCCTTTTTGTAGGTTACGTAAAAGAAAAAGTGTTTGTGAGTGCGTGTGCAAGTGAGTACGAAATGCGAGACCGCATCACAAATGCTTTCCAGAGCCGGAAACCGGAGCGATTCTAAGGTACGCATTTTTCTTTTTTTATCATTTGTCAGTTACCATGTTATGATTGTTAGATTTTCTTTTGTAAGTAATGCGGCTATCTTTTAATTAATAATTTATTGTTATTAAAACGTGGCGCGAGCGCGATCATTACATTGTCTTTTGTAAGTAATGCGGCTATCTTTTAAATAATAATTTATTGTTATTAAAACGTGGCGCGAGCGCGACCGTTTGTCCGAAAGGTAAGGTCGCGGCGCTGTCCATAGTGTAAAGTAATAATACTAAAAGCGCTGCCGTTCGCTGCGTGCGTTTGTGGTGGTAGCGATACATTGCGCGTAAGGTAATGAAACAAATCGGTTTAATTGGATTCCCATAACGTTCCTGAAATAATTTCACGTACCGGTCAACTTAAGACGATATACTGAATCCACCCTATCAGTTTGCGGAAGGCTGTCCCTTACACCCTGTATATATGTATATAAAAATCAATGCCCCTTTTCGTTGTAATGTTATCTTGTCTTGAATTATTCGAGGCAGTCCAGAGAAGAATGTGTAGAATCGACATCCACGAGGGTGGTGACTGCTAGTAAATTATATCCTTTAAAACATACGCAGATTGGTTGAAGATCTCACCTGTGCTTTGGCCTTAGCCTTGATGAAGCTGAGCACCTGTATGGCGGCGCGGACGTCGCCCCCGGCGCGCGCGGCCAGCGCCCCCAGCGCGGCCGGCGCCGCGCGCAGGCCCTCGCGCGCGCAGACACCCGCCAGCCGCGCTGACAGCCGGCTCAGTGATACCCCGCCCACGTGTACCACTAGCGCCACTGGCCTGACAAACAATACGTTTTATTTTTGTTATGTGATACTAGCTATCGGATTGCCTGATAGTGAGTAATCGGCGCCGGTAACATAAGAGGGTAATTACGAGTGCTTTGCTGGCGTTTTGGAGATTAGAGTTTCAGATTTCGGGATAAGGGATTGGGGAACGCTGGAGGAAGAGGAAGGAGAAACCTCCGGTAGGCTAAACCTCGAAGCGAAACAGTGAGTGTTTTTTCACGCCGGTTTTCTGTGAGGCCGTGTTACTCCTGGCGCGTCTACGGATTCGTTTCGAAAACTTGATGATTGAATCCTCAAACCTTAAATCCCTTATAACCGGCAACAAACTCTTTTAGTGAAACGAACGTCCATGGGTGGAGCTTATTGCTTACCATCAGGTAATACGTAAGGTATTTTGTCGACCGACGTAACAAAAAATTGAGCACAATATTCAAGCTACAAATTCCATACACAATACACATCTGTTAAATAACCTTCAAATCATAACACATGTATTTGGAGACTAACCTCAAGGGCCTTAGTGAGCTAGCATACAGATCATTGCATATAGCTATGACAGGCCTCTTCAAGGGTTGTTGCTTGGCTTTCTTCTTCCCTTCAGTCGCGGTGGCCGTGCACCAGCGTACCAGAAGCTCCACTGTAGGAAGCGGAGCGCCATCTATTTCATCTGTAAATTAATATACATCGATTATTTATAGTTTCACGGTTGGTGCGGTGGCTGGGCAACTGTAATTGTATGTTTGTAATCGCAACTAGTGTGGGGCAACGTTTTTTAAAATATAACAAAAATAGTTCAATCTCATTGTTTTGTAAAAGTATGTTCTTTTGTTATAACTTTTAAACTGATCCAACAGACAAATTGTGTATACAGTTTTGTTGGACATTTTATACCTTTTATAATGTAAAATATACCTTTTAAGCAATAATAAATAATAATAATAATAATAAACTTTCGCGTTTGATGTTTACAACATATTATTAAGCGGATATTAACGCGAAAACTATTATATTAATACCTTGGAAGGCTTGACGTTCCACCCGACGTAATTCCCGCGTAACTATCCATAATATGTTGTAAATTTTCTTTTTTCTGTGTAAAAATGTGCCCAAACGTTTAAGGGCGCATGCGCAAGGATTTATCGCTGCCGAAATCAGATCAGGAGAAGGAAAGAGGTGGTTTTAAAAAGGGGTGGTTTTATAGTTTTCTCGCCAAACATCGGACCTTCCCTCAAAGAAAAAACCCCAATATGTAATGCATTAAAACAACCATGCTCAACATAACAAATTATATTTAAAAAGTACCTACTTACATAACTTGCTGCAAATCCAGTTCATGATAAAAATAAATAAAATATAATCAACACTTACTGAATTAACAAACAAAATTCATATTTTCAACTAGCTTCCGCTCGCGGCTTGGCATGCGTATAAAGTAATTTATCCCCAGGATTTTAGAAACAGCAGCGTTTAAAGCGATAGCTCGACTAAAATGCTCCAATTAAGTATAAATTTTAGCCTATAGCACTCAGAAACATTGTAGCTATCTATCATTGAAATAATTTTGGAAATCCCACCAGCTGTTTCAAGGATTACACCCCACATAATATTAGTAGATTTTCAATAACATTTACAATAATAAATGCAAATATTTACCTAATATTAAGCAGTTAGGTCGTTTCTCGGCGTCGAGAACGGACCTCATGAGCGTGGCACTCTGCAGGGCGTTGCGGAACGCCTCAGTACTGCGCTCGTCTGAAGCATTCAGTTCCACCGGTCTGTAACCTGAAATCATATAGGCAAAAATAAAATTAATATCTAAATTTTAAAGATGTTATTTTAATTCAGTACCGTAACTAAAAGTTTACTGCACGGAACAATTCTGTGTGTGATTTACAAATTGGTTTCTCCGGTCCGGAGTGTGATGTGTAAGTGAAATTGTATGTTTGTAAACGCACCCACGACACAGGAGAAAATCCTAAAGTGTGAAAACGTTTCTTTTTTAAAAAAATGATTTATTAAAATATGTGTATGTATTTTCCGTTTGCGTATTAGTTTCGCTTTAGCTTCAATGTTTAAAGAACATAAATCATTTTATAGCCGCTTCTTTAAGTCTCTGATCTGGACGAAGTCAAAATCATTTCTTTAAATTAAACCTTACAGGCGCTTTGAACGTCAAAAAAAAACTTAAAATATAAAAAGTTTCAGTCTATCGTACAGTCATCTTAGTGAAGCTATTTGCTCGTTACAATAGATACTAATTAAGAAGTTAGAAACTGTCTTTAATAAGTCAATTTTTTTATGAATAAATAAATTTTATCAAGTCTATTCACAAGGTTTAGATTATTAGTATTACATTTAGGGTAACTATAACATAACATTGTTTATATGTAGGATACTTGCAATGAATTTTAATTTCATTCTCTACCCTGTTCCATTAGTTGAATACGTAACTTATAAGAAAAAGCATTTAGACATTAATTACCAGCTATTTTCGCTAACAAATGAGCTAGCGTAGTCTTCCCAACCCCAGGCGGTCCGCACAGCAGCGCCACCTTGTGGTGAGGTCTGCCATCTTCATCCAGCTCTGGTTCCTCTTCCTTCTTCCCTTTCCACTTGTTGGTTAACTGGAACTGGCCAGCGCGTTTGCTGAATGTCGTACGCTGCTGTGGTTCTCTGGTCTTTACTTCCTTCTTGAATACTATCTGGAATTTTATTTACGTTTTTCAGATTATTTAATCACACAGACACACGTCAACAGCCTATAAAAGTCCACTGCTCAGCAAAGGCCTCTTCTCACACGGAGAAGGTGCATTAATCACCACACTTGCCAAAGGCGGAGTGTTGATTTCAAACTTATAGTTAGTATAAGTCCAGGTTTCGTCGTGATGTTTTCCTTCACCGTATGTCAGGGGCGTCTAAATAATCATAGAAAGTCCCTACATATAACTTGGAAAATGTCACATTGGTATTTGCCAGGTTTTGAACCCGCACTATCATGCATGGGAAGCCTTGGTCTCCAGGTCACCACGACGATATTTAACAACGAAACTTGAATTTTTCCGCAGAAAAGACTATGGAGCACACCAGGCGTTTTTAAAATGGACAATGAATAGCAGTTTGGCCACAAAATAACACAAAATTACAGAAAAATTAATGGAAAAATGACTAGGTGTGAGTGTAACATTCACTGATTAAATTCACTGCAAGGGTAAATATAAATTAAAGAAACACTTGACATTTCGGTAACAAACTGCCAGGCTTTGGATATTCTTTAAAAGAAATCAGATGATGTTTAGCATGCGTAGTTTACCATATACTAATAGTTCTACAACTATTAAGGACAATATTTCTACAGATCCAGTTCTGAAAAGTAAATAAGAAGTACAAAAGTACTCATTTATTTAAAAAAAATACAACCTTTCTAGTCAGGCTTATTTATTTTATTATACCTTATCCCACAAATGCAGCCAATGCAGCAGGGCTCTATTGACAGGCTCATCGGACAACAGCTCAAGGTATGACTGCGGCCTGTACTTGTCAACCCACAACATGTTACCATTGAGGTCAGTATCCATGTCAGGTAACGGTTGTGAAGCCACTTCTTCAGATATACACTTCTGCTGCTTATCTTCTAGCTGAAAAGTTATTGGAAAAACACAATGAGTAATTTTAAACTTGGTATTCAATAAGTGTCAAATCCAAACTAATATTATAAATGCGAAAGTAACCATCTGTGTGAAAAGTGTCTGTCTGTCTTTTCTTCACGGTTCAACTACTGAACCTATTTGTGTGAAATTTGGTACAGACAAAGTTTGGAACTCCAGAAAGGACATAGGATAGTTTTTAAACCAAAAATCTGCAGGAAGTCACTATTCCACACGAACAAAATCGCAGGCAAAAGCTAGTTAAAGTAATAAAATAAACATATAAAAAAATAAGCTTAACTGATTTTAACAAGCAACTAATCATGACATAAATTGTTGATTAATGTAGATATGTGACTCCTAAGTAGGTACATAAACTTTCTTATAATTTATCTCAATCACAAATTTTACTTACAATCTTCCGAGCTTCATCCCAGGTGCTAGCATAGGAGGCATGTAGAGACATCTGTTCCATACCTTTATCCAGAGAGCTCTCCCAATCGTCCTCTGATTCTATCCTTATATAAATTCGCTCACCATCAGAGTTTGAGAGAGCTACAAATGGCCACCTGGAAGATATCAAATGTTACTGTTAGAATTAAAAAAAATGTTTTATAAGTACACTTTTATCAAGTAGGTTAATAAATCCTGAGGCAAAACTCTTCAAATATGACTTTAAAGTCATTAATAGTCATGCAAACTAAACCAAATTTTAATTCCATTGACTAAAGATCAGTTTCAAAATTTAGTGACAACATTCCACTTCAAAAACTGACATACAAAAACGGCAAAATAAATAAAAGCTCATAATAAAAATATTTATGTTGTATGTTTTCCAAGTAAGTGGAGAAAGCAGCAAGGGTTCCTTGCTGCTTTCTTCACTAAACAAAGTAAGTTTATTTTAATTTCTTACTCAAACCTCCATAGTCTTTAAATTTAAGAATATCCATTATTACTTTTTAAAAAGTTATGGAAGATTTATTGAAAAATAAATATTACCTTGGTATATCAAGTGACATATTATCCTTAACATTATAGTTAGACCGGCTACCTAATGGCCGGCCACTGGGCTCCAGCAAAATCTGTCTCAACCTTCTTCCTTCTAAAATCTTCTCAATTAACTCTAAATCAGTCTCTTCTTCCGTCTTCTGCCTTTTACTAGGTAACTCTACTTCATTAAAATCTATATCTTCAATATCCCCAAACAGTTCATCAGCAGTTCTCTTATTGGAGACTTGAGTGAATTCCTCTAACGGTTGTAAGTTGGGAGTTAGTGAGATGTCCGTACTCTCTGTGGCACCAGAGATTGTGATAGCATCAGGTACATTGTTTGTTAAATTTGTTGTAACTGGCTTCTTGGCTACTGGACTGGAGAAGTCAAGACTTCTTTTAGCTGGTAGAGGCTTCTTTTTCACTACACTCGGTTCTGAAAGTAATGTTTTAGAGGTGGTGTTTAGAAACAAAAACATTCATTCAAAAACTAACCTCTGCAAGGTTCGGAAGACATTTAATGGGAATTGGGCCTTAGTGATATAAGAACTAATAATCTACCTGCATGGTCCTCATCTTCTCTTAACATTGCCAGTTCATCTGCGTACATCAACTCATATTCTTCGTCAGGATCTGGGTAATCACCCATTTTGCCGGCAAAACTTTAAACAGCGATAAGTTAGGAGGGAATCAAACTTGTAGTTGCTCTTTATATTGTTAGACCACCATTAAATGGATTACAGGTTTATTTACGCTCGTTTACTAGCCAATACTTTTAAGAAATCACAAAAGTAAACTAAATTTCAAAAGTTCGGTATGTTTACGCTCATGTCAAAACTAACAGTTTGAGCTTTGACAGTTTTTATAACGTTGACAGTGACAGCCCAATATTGTACAATGGCAAATTTTTATAAAAAAAAATATGGTTCTATGGAATGTAACTTTTTGTTCGAAAATAATTATTTGGATATCTTATTGAAATTTTACCCAACAACGATTTGGAACCTTAAATAAACTTCAAATTTACTTTGAAAAGGAATGCATACACATGCAAGCTTATATGTAAGCTTGTTTCCTATTACCATTTTACGAATTTTACGGCACATCCCTAAAGAGATATAGGCCTACATATATATAGATATATATATGTAGGCCGTGCCATGAGCCTTGCAGTACACAGTGACATGTAAATGCTGATGCACATCTTCAATGCCTGAAGATGGCTCCAGGGGCCAGAACGAAATTTTTTCTTGAATGCCAACCAAATCTTCAAAAAAATGAACCGAACAACTTGATACTGTATCAAGTTGTTAGGTTCATTTTATTATTGGAAAATTAATACAAGTAGTCTGTCGTTATTTATCCTAAAACAACGGATAGAAAGCTTAATTAACATATCCGATTATTTTGTGCCCCGTGGATACTTACTTTCATTGATTAAGCAATAAACCTTTATTTAGGTCATAGTGCTCGTCGTTTATGGACTCGTCAAAAAAAGTTATAGCATAACATCCAGTCTATTTTATGATTGCGATTAAATACCTAAATGACGCTAAAGTGAGACACTGACGCTCCAAATATTTTAGTTTACTGCCAGCTCTTTAATTTGTAAATAGGTTAGTACCTTCTTACTTTTGGACAAAGATTGCCCGTTCGTTGAGGAGTTTCAAAACCAATTCCTAGGTCGGGCAAAAATTATAAGATTTTAAAAAATCCTTAATAAGTACTTAAGCATTTAATACGGAATTGTCTCTAGTGAAGAGCACTAATATTTATGTGTAGGTGTACCTATGGCAAAAATTGACTTCATTATTGATTACATATGTTTTTATTACATAGGTATTGTTAAAACTTCTCTAGTAGGCCGGGAATCAAACCCAGGAATACCATACTAAGCATATACTGATTAGGTGCATGTTATAATTTAACGCAAACTTCATTCCTTAACGAAAGGTAACATTATAAATATAGGAATTGAACCCAGGACCTCAGAATCGGCGGTTGATTTTGCAGACCTTCACATAATGTTCGAGGCGCTCATCTCGTTACTACGGCTACTGAGTCTAGGGTGCCTTTACAAACACACCATGTTTACACAAAACATCAAACTGAGATACGGAAGAACCATCATCATCATCACCATCAGCCTATAAGTGCCCACTGCTGAGCAAAGGCCTCTTCTCATACGGAGAAAGCTTGCTCAATGCGTGGGAAGAACCACATTCGTAGCCAACATAAAGAAGGACTTGCGAGTATCGAATCCGCAGCACACTGCACAGCAGCTGGTTATTGGTTAATTATTATACTACCTACTAGCTTATGTCTGTACCAAATTTCACAGAAATCGGTTCAGTAGTTTAGGCGTGAAGACAGACAGCAGAGTTACTTTCGCATTTATTATGTGTGCCAGCGCGGAGCGGCGGGCGGCGGCCGGCGGCGCTCCGCTACATTCGTCTGGATAATATATGTAGATATGTAGGTATGATAGGTATGTAGGAATATCGAAAGAAACGAATAAATAAAACACCAGTATTTATATATACGAAAGTTTTTTTTAATAATTGGGTATATTTACAATAGATTAATTAACAAACGTGAGTTACATGAATATTTTAGAAGAGGTACATGACCGTTATACCTTTCGAGTTATTTATTACATTCACACGTCAAAATACCAAAGTTACGCTATCTTTTACCTTAAGAAGGATCTTCGAAATTCGTTATTGAATGGTATTAGGCTGTTGTAGCCAATCTTATGGACTTATGTTACTTGCAATTAGTAATTGGAATGTAGCCGTGCCACTCGAACACTTACCCATCACTAAAATCGAGATCAATTTTCAAATAAACATCTCCTACCGTTATCTAAGTTAAAGGCGTAACATAAATAATTAATAAACATAAAATTACAAACGTACAACAATAAATTTTAATAGAGGGGAAAAATTTTCTTCGCATTTTGTTTAGTAACTTTTTGCCATCTTGTAGACATGATATTAGGTATTGCGGTAAAAGTTTTCGGAATTCTGATCAAAATACCTCGACTTGTGGTTTTGGCAGTCTTCTTGTGATATTAACCTGCCGGTGGAAATCTGTGAACTCGTGAGGTAACCAAATATGGAGCCTTTTTGTGTACCCAGTTTTTCTCAAATGCGCCAAAACTGTTTTGTAAACAATTTCCAGTTCTTCATTTTATCCGTAATAGGACGATCAGAGCGACGTGCATCCTTGTCATCAACATTTCCGGATTGCAAACAGTGGCAAAACAGATTTTATTACAAGTACATACAAACTACTACTAATGCAAAAAGACTTTTTCCCCAACCTAATATTTCAAATGTCTCATTAATTCTCAAAAAGCATTTTTTATCCAATTATTTAATATACTAGTGTTTATTTGCATATTTTACTTTGTATATTATACAGACGGCGTCGTATCGTGCTTCTAAAATTTAAGGAAATATTCGAAATTAAAAACAAATTCATAGATTCGCAGTACGTAACTAGGTATATATTAAGCAATAATAATATATAATAAATTATTGTAACAATTCATCGCAATTAAATAAAACATTAGGTAAACAATAATATTAAAAAATATCACTAAAACAAAGCAAAGATTCAATAAATCACAGACATCTACTTTTTATCTAAATGATTGGAACGTATTATGAGATTCTTTTTTTATTTTATTATTATCATTAAATACTTACACCTCACCATCCATAGACATTCACTCGACTAAACAATTTATCTTAACTACGGCACTCGGGTGGCCGGCTGTGTGGGTACTGGCCTTTACCCCGACCTGTAACCATTAGGCTGTCCAACATCGTGAACCTCATAACTCATTATCTTAACCAGATTGTTACAACTTTCCGTTTAATATTAACTAAGCTCAAAATCCTCCCACCTTCACATTCTAAGACCAAACGCGACCAACACCGATGAATGCATTTTGTTTCAGACTGAACGTTCTCTTTACTGAAGTCCCAAACCGAGTGCCACCCAGACATAAACCTGCCGTCCATTTGTCTAAACTATGCTAACGTTTAAGACTTAGATGTATTATTTTATTCGATTTTACTGTACAAAACGCTTAATCCTTCGCAAAATTTGACCTATTTGTTAATACATTTCATCGCCTCAACACAAGAATCATGTCGTCCCGCTTTGAGCCGGCCAATTAATTTAATACGTACACTTCATAGAAGGGCTTACCGGATTACATTACGACGGAGTTCCCGCACTATTGCATCCTCCCGCCTGCCAGACATTTCTCTAATATCATCTAACTATATGGCAATACGTTCATTTCACTACGTTTACGAAACTCTTAACTTACTAGCTAACCGCTGTTCTATTGGACTAAAACACCGCTTGGTCTGGCGGCACGAGAAAGTAACATTACCAGACAATTACCTACGTAAAGATTACGAACAGAGAAGAGAGTGCAGCTTCAACTACTACGTGGTTACATCAAACACCACAACGAACGTTGCACTTCATCTGAACGAGCGGCGAGAGGCGCCGCGACGGCAACCGTCGTAGACTCTGACATACGAGTAGTCGTAGGTACACCTGTGACTGCGTTGTTCTCAGATATACCGCATCAACAGTCTTACTAACTGCAGCCGTTAGAGCATTCGTACACTATCGTCAGGTCTCAGCAAGCCACGAGGATGTCAGAAGTGCTGGATACTTTGCCTTCAACAGCAGTCACATCTCGTGTTTGCGTGTTAAAATATCGATCGCCGCGACCCAAGTAGCCAGTGTACGACAGCTCTTAAACTTGGCCATTTCTTCCTGCCATCCTTCTCCACACAATGACTGACAGCATTCTGTCACCCCAGTTTTGAATATCGCTTAATATCGGATGTTAGCAATGTCTAAAATGTCTTTGAAATTAAGTGTTTCCTCTAGATATCACATTCTCCCTTCGAAATTAATTCAAAGTTACAATGAACTATGAAGGTAGCACACATAATTCGAGTATTCCTCCTTTCACTCATCTATCTATTGCAATGACAGTTTAAGTCTTGGTCAATCGTAATTTATTTATTAAGCTTTTAGTACCTATTTTAATTAACTCACTTTCTTGAGCAATCACACCACGAATGACAAAAATAGTATCTATCATTATATACTACATAACACAATATAACAAGTGACTAGAATATATTGCACTCTGAATATTTACGAGTAATAAAACACGGTGTAAGTATTGACTCGTTAAGTCCTCGTTAGACAAAAGCAGATAGAAACGTCTCCTATAGCCAAAAAGTGATGAAATAAGAAATGTAGAAGGTAAAGCTTAGGTTAGATTAACTAATTGGTTTGAAATGTTGACAGTCTACTTAGCATCCTCACTTCAAACCTGGTTTCGAACACTAGACGATTCAATAAACGCGTTGCTACGAAACGTTAAACCGAAGACGATTGACCAAGAGCTTCGAGTGTCAGAAGCCGACATCAAACACGACTGGGGCGGTCAGTGAGGGCCAAGCGAAGGACAGCGACCTCCGTTTGTCAGGCAGCGCTGATAGCGAGCGGAGGGGCGGGCGCTGGGTGCGCAGGCGCCGGCGGGGGGGACTCCACCGCCGCGCCGCACGCCTTCAGCTCCGTGAACACTTCGGTGAAGAAGCCGGGCTCCGAGTTGATCCTAAGCATGTTGAAGGAGAGTCGGTCGACTATCAGCAGGCACCGGTCCCAAAACTTATCTTTAGAGTCTTCGACTAGGAATGGTTTGAGCGGGTAGGAGATCTCGTTGCCCATGTAGGAGTAGGAGAGGTAGAGGCAGGTGAGGACGACAGCTTGCAGCTCCTGTGGACGGCCTATCCTCTCGCCATC